AAGCTGTATAGAAAAACAAAAAAATTTTCACACCATTTAGAACCTCTAAATGAAGTTAAATTATACAGAAATAAATTAACCACAATTATAAAAGAGGCTAAATTGAAATTTTTTAAAAATGAAGTTGATATACTTCAAAATTCTTCGGTCAAAATGTGGCATTTCGCAGAAAAAACACAACATTCTCAAAAATGCCAAGAACTTTCTGCCGTACAAAAAGAAAATGGGAGACTTACAAAGAGCGATATTGAAACAGGCAATCAATTTTGCAAACATTTTTCTGAAATTGGTGAGAATCTGGCAAAAGGCATTTTAAATGAAACACAATTTATATATACGAAAACCATATTGCTAAATTCCCTGTATCTGACACAGACCGATCAATACCAAATTGAACATATCATAAAGCGACTGAAAGTTAAAAAATCACCGGGATTTGATAATATAACCGCATACACTCTGAAACAAATAAATTATAAAATTTCTAAAGTATTAGCATATCTTATAAACACCTGCATGGAACGAGGAATGTTCCCGATCCAATTAAAAAAGGTGATAATTAAACCTGTATTTAAATCTGGAGATAAACAGAAACCTAGTAATTATCACCCAATTTCAGTATTAAAATATACAAAAATTTTCGAAAAAATTCTTGAAAGACGCTTTTCAGTTTTTATTGCAAAATATAACCTTACATCTGAAAAGCAGTATGGATTCCAGGAAGCAAAATTAAGTCAAGATGCACTTATTCAGTTAACAACCAAAATTTACAAGTACGTTGATAATAATAAGTCAAATGCCTTTTTGTAGACCTAACCAAAGCATTCGATAGTATTACACATCAAAATTTATTAAGAACCTTGCAAAATTTGAGATTCCATGTAGTCACTTATCAACTCGTGAAAAGTTATTTAGAAAACCGGACACAATGCGTGAACATCAACGAGTGAAGATATGATTGTTAGATGCGGAGTTCCACAAGGTAGTATTAGGTAGGACCAATGTTGTTTAATTTATATATTAGTGACCTTTTTAAGTTAAAAAACCATGGAGAAATTATTGGTTTTGCAGACGATACGGCAATTATTTACTCAGACAAAGATTGGACTTCTTTAAAAAACAAAATTGCATTAGAAGGTTACAAATTTTTTCTCGGAAAGGATTTTAAAAGTCAATTTCAACAACACATACTCTATTACATTTTCGTGCGACAACAGATCTTCCCCAAATTTTAATCAACTTCAAATTAAAACATTGAATAGTGTGTATCTGACATTTCAGACCGAACTTTCTGCCTAGATATATTGCCATTTTTATTTGAACCAGCCTGTATCTGTGCCGTGAAAAACTCCTAGGTCAATAGGAAGCACATATTTCAAATCAGACGTTCATTTAAGGCTAGCCTCCATGAGATGTCCTAGGACACAGCCTCTATCTGAAACCCATGACATTTCGAGATTTTTCGACGTTCATATTCTCACTCAGCGCCCCTAATTACCTAAGTGTACACAGTTTCACTAGCTTGTAACAGCAAGAAATGAAATTGGAAATTTTGTTCTGTATAAGTTACTGTTTTTTATGACCCTATATGTATTAGAATAGCGAGGGCGAAATAAGGTTAACCAGAAGGTGTGTTGGGCGGTAGTTTCGTGATGTGGCATCGTGGCGAAGGACGTGGAAAATTAATGAGGAGATAAAAATGTAGGACGCCCTGACCTGATTAAATCTTTTCTAAGGAGTGTTTTCGCTACGGGGATTGCGAGTAAATCTGGTAGCATTTGACTGGGTATATGAAAACGATAGACATGAATTATTATCATACTTATGCGTAGTTACGAAAGCAAACCGTGAATACGAGGGCAGTCCGATAAGTACTTATAAAGGGTGGGCTAGATAGAAGTTTTTTATAATGCAGTAAATTGGGTAACAATCATTATTTAAATTATTTGGCTTTATTGAAAAGAACAAACATTACCATTATTTATGGAATATGATTTCATTCATATGGCTCCCTCGGCTACGTTCGCAGGAGCGAATCCCGTCGATCCAATTCTTCAGGCCGTTATTGACAACGTAGGGCTGTATCTGACGAATGGCACGTTATATATTTAACATAAGGGGCTGAATCGTTAAGTGGCTGCTTCGAAGCGGCCAATTGACATCGCCACGACGCGACGGCTGATTACACGATTACCAAAAAGATCGATCGTTTGATGGGGTGTGTGGCATGTGGCTCCATCTTGTTGAACCCGAAGGTCGTCTCTATCCATGCTACCGATTTCTAGCCATGAAAAACGGTATGAATGCCTCGGTAGCGCTCTTCTCGAAGAAAAATGGCCCAACGCTGCCACCACTCCACAATCCGCACCAAACTGTCACGTGCGAGTTTTCCGAGCACCAGATGCGGAAAATATGAATTTTCGAGCAAAATCTTCATCGATTTCGAGCTGTCCTAAGGCCCAAACTGAGAAGCGATACCGAAGCAAATGATCTTTGAATGTCAATTCTTGGGTCAATTGGATCTTGTAAGCGAATAATCCAAGGTTTTTGTGTAAAATTCTCCTCAGGCTAGTGCGGCTAATGTTGAGTTGTTGCAAACGACGGTGAGTTGATGTTCTGGGATTAGGTCGCACACTCTCGGCTACAGCATTCACATTGTCGACTGCGCGCACCGTACGAGTACATGGACCGAGAGTATTGTCCACCAGCATTCCCGTATCACGAACCTTTTGCACAAATTTGCGTTCAGCAGGCGCGGTGGGTACCTCCTTTCGGAGAAAATTTCTGAGCCGGTGCTTTGTGATGGTGGAAGAGTACTATTTTCTTTGCCAAACGAGGTCGTTTCTTCTGCAATTCAGCGTCGAGTCATCCCAATAATTCGGCAAAGTAGAGCCCTGTGGCCGATTTTCCCTTCTCCAGGGAGCCGATATAGATCACACCTTATGAATCACAGAAAACCGTTGCCATCTCCTTTCCGGCCGATAGGACAATCTTCGCCTTCTTCCGGGCACCTGAGCGTGGCTCATCAAAAACCGACGTGAGACCACGTTGAAACTCATTAAGTCAATTTTTGACGATCGCCATAGGAGAAGAGTCACAGCAATCCAAGTGCTTTTTAACAATAAAATCATCGACCGATATTTTTCTAAAAATCCGCGGCCATGCCCACTTCCCCACGCGCTCAAAACAAAATCATGGATTCGATTCGGCTGAAATTTTGACAGTAGCGATAGTGGCGCATTCGGGTGATTGAGCATACGTACTTATCGTACCACCCTCGTAAATGAATGAATTAAGAGAAATTAGATGCATTCCGGCAGCCACGAGGATCCAGCGCATAGTCCACAATTCGGGCCCTTTTGCGTTGAGTATAGCCTTGAGCAACACCTCCCTGATTATCTAGCAACCCAAAATATTCTATCCTAGGGACACTTTAATAGTATGTCACAGTAAATGTAGTGTAAGCAAAGTTCTGATTCCGTAGCAAACTTATTGTTCAATGTATATCACAACTAGCAAAGCAGTGCTATAAGCTTTTGGTAAAAGAACCATTCAGCCATAAAAGCTCTCTATTATTCTTGCCTGAACACCAAAATGCTGGCTTAATGTTGTGTGGAATGCAAATTTGCTTTCTGCAACATATTTGCTCTAAAATGAGGTGTTTAAAATATTCTTTAGCATAGTTATACAACACCTTATAGGACAAATTTTTAACTGTTGCATAAACGTTTATACAACTATTTTATATGGCATATTTGCAAGTTAGTCAAAATGTTTTGCATTGTGGCATCCATGGTAACGTTTATAAAACAAACCCGAGCCTTGTTGTTTTGCTGTGCATATTACTTCTTTAGCCAACAAGTTGCTCCCAACGGAAGCACTTATACAACTGTTGTTTAGTAACTGTTAAAGGCTGTACATGTGCTAAATATGTTGGTATACAACTTCACCATAACCTAACTTTCTGCTGTCATATTTTTGTTAAAATGCCATAACCAATCATTTAAGACAAACAACGCATGCATATCGGTTCAAAAGGTTTTATCAACTGTTCAAACAGAAGATATAGATCGGGTACAAATTCTGGGTAAATCATTGGACTCTGTCGGTATTTCATTTCAGACATTTGTCAAATTGTTGTATAACACCTGCAGGCAACAGCAAAATATTTTAATAAACTGAAGACAACATGGACGATGCCATGATTATACACAACCACCAGCCATATTGGGCAAACATTTATTCCTCTATTTAATATTAAATAATTATGTTTCAGTTCGAAATTACAGATATAAAGTGATGAACATTAGTGTAATTGTGTCTAAATATAGGATTTGTGGAAGATTTGACACAGATAAGTTCAGTTTTCCATCTTAAAAATCTAGACATACTTTTGATCATTATCAAAGTATGCATGAAATAAGAAGCCCGTAGAAATTGCGTAACTACTTTGCACGATAATTACAATAAAATTTGCTGCACAAGTAATTCAATACCCCTATATCACAGTGTAGAAGTTTATCATATACCTGTGTATGAAATTCACAATGGCCGATATTTAAGTAAACAAGATGACTGTAATGTGTTAGTTATATATTCTTCACTTCGTCTATGCAATACATAAGAAATAGTTTGGTTGCAATAAAGTAGAATCACGTAACAGAATAGTTGTATAGTTGACAAAAACTGAATCTTGCACTGACGCAAATGAGGAGGTGATCTGCAAACTGCAGTCTTTGAAATTTCAACGTTTTGAGATAAAGACGTTTTTTTAAGGTGCGTAAATGGAGAAGTAGAATGCTAAGCCAAACATACCACCTCAAATTTCAGAGACAACGAAATGGCTACACTAACCTGCTGAAATATGGTCCTTATCGTTTGCTGACTAACACAAAAAAACAAACAAAAAACCGCATTTTGATTTTCCACATCTATTAAAACTGCGTTTTGAAAAACCAATCTATTCATATGAAACATAAATGAAACGGAAAGTTATATAATTATATTTTCAAGCCAATGTCTTCCTCAGCACAATCACACAACTCTGGATCTACATCGTCGGATTCCGGGCATGTTTCTTCCTCGTCTCCTGTTGGATATCTTCTTTCATTTAGTAGGTTCTTGTACCAAGCGAAGGTTTCATTATCTTCCCAGTCTTCTTGATACGTTTTTAATAGGGTTTCAACGTTTTCAAGCTTAATTTTTTTAATGCTATTGCGCAGTTCAATTTGCTTAGGTTGGTAATTTTCTAATTTCGCACCTCGTTTCAAGTAGTTCTGATACTTTGTATCGTTGTCTGTTCTGTAGAAGACTTCTAATTTTGTCAAACACTTTTCACGAACCCTTTGCAAATGAACTCGCTTTACTTCTTGTATACCACTGGTTTTCTTGAATTTTGTAATAGAAAAATCCTTCCAATCCAACAAGTCGCAATCTTGTCCCATCATTTTAACATTCCCAACTTCTCCAAAAAGATATTTCAGTATTCTTCCTTAGTGGTAATTTCAGACCGCTTTCTGCAGATCTTCTCTATCCGACCGAATACTCTGTCTGCAGGTAGATAAGAATGACCTCTCACCGGAAAATACAGGACCACCTCTTCAATATGTTTAGGTGCCTTAGTGGAAAGCCAAAATATCAACATGTGGATGATGAAAGAATTTTTATTTTGTCCTCCGCATCCATCGGCGAATAGTCTAACTAATTTACAACTCTCTGGAAACTCGCGATTTGTCAAGAAATGGTATATGGCTGATCCTATCTCATTCGGTCCCCTTTTCGCTTGATTCTCTGTCCAAGTATAAAAGTAAGGATGTCTTGTACTAGGTTCTGTTATGCAAAAGTTGTATAGAGCAAGTTGACGTAAATAAAATGCTTCCCCTATGTTCATTTTAGGCAACGCTTGGACTTGCTGCAAGCTGTTCTCCGGAATTGCTTTCAAAAAAAGGTGGAATTGTTTAGCTCTCAATTTATGAATTCTCAGCTCAGTAATAGATTTTTCTTTCATAGCTGCATTCTTTATGGATCTAATTGTATTTTTCAGACGGGTACATAGACTACATACATCTTTTGCGGGATTCCCAAAGCCGAGATTGAAATAGCGTACAAAAATATTATAAAAATAACGACGCGAGACTTTTAAATTCAGCTCTACAGAGTTATTATAAAGTTTTGATAGTTTCGCAATATTCAAGTCAGATGAAAGATAAAGTCTCTTCGATTTCTTACGATTGTAATGACTTTCACTTGCATGTAAATTCCCAATGAATTTTTTAACACTGTTTTTCTGCTCCTCGTATTTTTTGCTTCTCCGATCACTTCCCCTTCTCTCAATTATCTGCCCTTCTGCCTTCTTTTTTCCGATAGTAAGGATATTCCAAAAACGTCTTTTGACACACTAACAGCCTCTCAGAGTTAATATTTCTTAAAAAATAATCCAGCCTAATTGCTTGGCCTTTATTTGTCAATCTTTCTTCACTTTTTTTCCTTTTAGGATGCTTAACTTCAATCAAGTGGGCTATTTTATTATCTATTATCGTTTTTACTGGTTGTCTATACACAAACTCTCTAACACGTTTTACATCCTCTGTAGAAACTTCATGACACTGGAGTGCAGTTTTTAAATGCTTGCACTTCACTTCAAAATCTTCAGCAAGGCATATGATTCATGTATCTAAAAGAATAAAAAATATAAAACAACTCCGCTCACTTGCTTTTATATTCAAACTTACCGCATTTTTTTGCCCTTTCTCGTTTAGACATAGTTCGTTTTCTTTTTCTCGAAACATCAGATGCGTCACTAACTAGCACTAGACTACTATCATCCATTTTTAATTTCGAAATATTGCGTAATTTAGCAGCAACAGATCGCAAAAGTATAACACACACACTTAGTAACTGCCGGTAAACAACTGAACTATTCACAGCCGGTCTGAATATCCCCTTATTCAAAGAAATACTGCGTTTTGTCGTGCATGTGTAATTTTGATCAGCAAGTTAGGATTTGAAAAGTTGCGCTATGATTTTCCAAGCATGGAGTAATAAATTGCGTTTTGTTATTCCTAGTTGAAACAAAATACTGTGCTTTGTAGAACACCACAATAATTCACTAGCTATTACAAAGGGAAAACTGCAGTTTGACGTTTTTAATTAGGTTTATCGGGTAGAGGACCATTGAAAATATACGATCACATGCCTAACCCAGATTTGCCAATTTTTCAAAAACTGCGGTTTGCAGATCACCTCCTCAAATGTCCTATAGCGGCTGCAAGGGGCTTACAATTTTTTTGTATGAATGTTACCTGCAGCCCTTATACAACCTCTTAAATGACTGAAGTGTCCTATTAGGTGTGCCCATTCCTCTTGTATAGCTGTTCTACGAGGGTTTTGCCAATGTTCTTACAGTATACAATGCTGTGTAAGGAATACTGTATAATCATTTTTGCAACTCTAATAGAAGTGATAATTGTTAGTTGGGGTAAGAGTATTTTGAAATAGGTAATTTCTGGTGCTCAACCCCCGTTCATTTCCGATACTCAGTTTTTTCAATTTTTTCCATGTTTTCGCATAAACCACGGTGCGTAGGGATAATCTAACAATGATAATGTAATTATTTGTTACTCCTACAACATTATTTTGTTACTTCCCCCGTAAAAACCTTACTGTAACAGAAGCTTCTTCAAAGTATACAACTCAGCAAATCTGCGTCACTGCCTGGAAATTTCTAATATGACACGTATCGTCACAGCGGTAATTGAAGTGTTATCTCTCTCCGCCAAACAGGGTCTTGAGGACCGTTAACAGTTTTTTAATGACTTGTTTATCAACGTGCAGATCATATAAATTGAGGTGTTGACTCTGTGCTATTATGAGGGTGGCAGCAGTTAAGATAACCGAGTTAGCTTAAAGTTGTTTAGCAGCTGCACTTCTATTTGTTGCAGTGAACATTTGACAGTTAGCCCAAAAACCGTTTACAGGGTGTTAATAACATGGCAGGTAATTATTACAACGGTATGTTTCTGAACCAAATTCAAGTAGAACAGTTCATATAAACATGTGTGTCCTAAGTCTGTTTTCCAAATTTTAAAAAGTTATGTCTTTGAGAGAAAAAAGATTATAGTAAGCTGTCACGGAGAGTCAAAAATATGCTTATAACAACATTATTTGGCAACCATCAAAGATGACTACGATTTTATTTTGACAATTTTCGACATGTAACGTTATTTTTTTTTTGTTTCCTCGAAATCGTAGTAAGGTGCGAATAGAGACGAACAGGAAAAACAGTCGTAAAATTAAATAAAATGTGTATATTGACTGCTCCCATGACAATTATCAACATTTGTTCAGATACAATTATTTACTTAAATTTGGTTCAAGAATGTGCTTTTGTTATTACGGCCTATCATTAGGTAAGACGCTGCATAACATAAAGTCTTTTTCTCTTTTAGACTTACACGTGTACGAGAGAGAAGCGTATTATAAAGATTGCACCAAATATGCGTCGTAACCACTTTGCCTCACAACAGAGCCCGGCTATAACGCCCCCACTATCTTTGCCAGGAAACGTGACGACGACTCTTATATGGCGTACTTTTTCTATCAAGCTTTCCTCGCTTCTGTCTGTGTTCGTAAAAGGGAAAGAGATTCTCGGCAGCACTGTACAGTTCTCTTTACGGTTTTTGGTCACTTACATGACAACCTAAATAAGTATATAGATTCACTAACTGTATATACCATGTGCTTGACTTCCTTAAGGGAAATTCCATATTGCGCTATCCGATTCTTCAAGCAGCTGCTACTCGCTCTTGCATAGACACAAACATACGGTGTGGTTCAAATCTGGCTGACGTAATGCAAACGAGAGAGAATCGCGAGAAGCTTGCAATATGTATGTTAGAAAGAGTGCGCCGATGGCAACGCGGCCGTGGCCTCGTCACTCGGGTTGCTAGGCAACGAGGTGCTTCTGCCTCTTTCAAACAAACGTATTTCAGGCTCTCTCTCATACACATTACGCCTACAGTGATATCTGGATATATATCACACTGTACAAAATTACCTCAGATTTTCGTCACTGTAGTTGTATCTTCAAATATTGCTGTTTTATATCGAAAATCCACAAAAGGTAAACTCAGCGCCCATGACAAGCATTATGTCACGCTGACAGTCACAAGCATAAATGTCGACGACTTTTAGTTGATAAAAAATTTTAAGGTGGTGAGAAAAAACTATATAACATATGTCTGTAAGCATAGACAACCATATGTAGGTTCGCATACGTATGTGAAAAATGGTTAGATAATGTCAGAGGTTTTACTGTGACCGCTGATATACACTAAAATACAAATTTTCTTCATTTTACACTCGATTTTGATTATTTTTTGAGCAACACTTATTATATTTAATCTGCATGTCTAATTTCTTAAGGATATTCACTGTTTGACTTGTTGCAGAGGGTAAATCAAAATGATATTTCATTACCCCAACTGTTTGTTTAATAACGCCCATATGTGCAGTGCTTTGGGTTTTGGATTCAAATCCGCTTATACTCGTATAATGCGGAATATGTCTAAATCATCATCAAAGAGTATAACTGATTGGAATTTGTGCATGTTCTGTTAAGCGTATTGCACTCCAAAAGAACAATCTGGAATAGATATGAAATGAACCCAAAATTTACTCATAAGAAAGATGTGGTTATTGGTATCAAAAGTTACAGCGTTAAATTGCTAATGTCACCGCACTTCTGTACAATTAGATAGAAATATACCTGGATGGGATTTAAAACAGTTATAAAGGGAACAAGGTGAAACCTTCAATTGACCCCAGAACTCAACCATTGTGAATATTGACACGAATAAAAAACAGACTTTAGGGAATATGTTGTTCTTGATAGTGGACAGCATTGCGGCCGGACTGGCTAGTAGATCCACACCTCCGTGTAATTCAAAGTTAGGGTAATATGATTTTGATTTAGCCAGTGCATCAGGCGATAGAGTGACTGGCATCAAGAGATTAGAATTTCAAATTAAAGCATGTGAGTGTACCTACCGCACGAATCATCAAAATGGTGTTGAAAATGAAAAAGTTATGACGTTCCGCATTTGGCGAAAACTTTGCTTGCTACAATTTAGCAACTGAGTACTTTTTGAGATAAAAATTGGTTTACTCGAACAGACCGGCGATAACTCTGAGCAAGACTTTGTTTCAATGTCACTTTGCGAACTTCACGTTATAACATTTGGTGTGGACTTACTGCCGAAACATGAACCAACTGTTTTGCATGGAATCAACTGTTTAACAAGTGCCTACTTACTTGGGCTGCTCGTGGTGGGCTTCTACTCTGAAAGGAAGAGATAAGTCTGTCAGTAAGTAGTACCAGAGTTTTGTGGGCTCACATGTCTCCGAGGAAGAAGGGGATGAAGGTGAATAAAGTAAATCACAAGTGACA